GCACACACCATCACACCCAGCTAATTTTTATATTTTTAGTAGACAGTTTCACCATATTGGCCAGGATGGTTTCGATCTCTTGACCTCGTGATCTGCCTGCCAAAGTGCTGGGATTACAGGCATGAACCACTGTGCCCAGCCACTAAACTGTTTTCTAGTGCTCTGTATCTTTTTTTTTTTTTTTTTTTTTTTTTGAGATGGAGTCTCACTCTGTTGCCCAGGCTGGAGTGCAGTGATGCGATCTTGGCTTACTGCAACCTCTGCCTCCCAGGTTTAAGCAATTCTCATGGCTCAGCCTCCCAAGTAACTGGGATTACAGGCATGCACTGCCGTGCCCTATTATTTTTGTAGTTTTAGTAGAGATGGGTTTTCACCACATTGTCTAGTCTGGTCTCGAACTTCTGGCCTCAGGTGATCTGTCCGCCTCGGCCTCCCAAAGTGCTGGGATTAGGTGTGAGCCACCACACCCGGCCCCTGGTGACCTCATTTTAACTTGATCACCTCTGTAAAAACTCTGGCTCCAGTAAGGTTACCTCTGAGGTCCTGGGGCTCAGGGCTTCAACACATGAACTTGGGGTTGGGGCACACCATGCAGCCCATAATACTAGCAGACCTGGTTATGTGAAATTTGCCACAGCCACTATCTCGCTGCCTTGAACATGTTACCATGGAAAGGGCCCGTAAAGATCATCTTATCTGGCCAGGCTCAGTGGCTCACGCCTATAATCCCAGCACTTTGGGAGGCTGAGGCAGGTAGATCACGAGGTCAAGAGATCGAGACCATCCTGGTGTGAGACCAGGAGTTTGAGACCAGCCTGGGCAACACAGCAAGACGCTCTATCTACTAGATGCATGCACCTGTAGTCTCTGCTACTCGGGAGGCTGAGAGGAGAGGATTGCTTGAACCCAGGAGGTGACAGAGAGCTGATTATACACTGCATCGCAGCCAGGGCAACAGAGACGTTGTCTCTAAAAAACAAAAACAGGCCGGGCGAGGTGGCTCAAGCCTATAAGTAATCCCAGCACTTTGTGAGGCAAAGGCAGGTGGATCATTAGAAGTCAGGTGTTCAAGACCAGGATGGACAACGTAATGAAACTCCACTATAAAAATACAAAAATTTTATCCTGGCCAACATGCTGAAACCCCGTCTCTACTAAAAATACAAAAATTAGCTGGGTGTGTGGCACATGCCTGTAATCCCAGCTACTCGGGAGGCTAAGTCAGGAGAATCGCTTGAACCCTGGAGGTGGAGGTTGCAGGGAGCCGATATCATGCCACTGTACTCCAGCCCGGGCAACAAGAGTGAAACTCCGTCCCAAAAAATGAATAAATAAATAAATAACAAAAACAAAGAGCCTCTTCTCCATCTCCCCATCACAGAGTTTTCTTCTGTAATGACCTTTTTCCTAAGGGTTCACTGGCTGTCCGGGTCCCAGAAGGGGAAGTTTTCTTCAAGGTACAGAAGCCATGACTCTGCAGCGACGGCAGAACGAGCAGCTGCCGGCCAGGTGTGGGAGGCTGCTGGGCTGAGCTTCCCCTGCACGTTGACTTATTTCCATCAGCACCAAGGCCGCTGGAGGGAGGATCATCCACCAGCAAAGGAAGCGGGGGCGTGGCTTGGAGGCTGTTTCAGAAGTCCCACTGAGCCAAGGACTCAAGGCCTGGCCACAGCCCTCCCCCGTGAGGCCCAGATCATATTTCACCACTCTCAAAAGATCTCTGCTCATTTCAGTCCGCGGTGATTTTTGCTTTCTTTAGGATCTCTCTTGCACTCTCCATCCCAGAGAGTTCTAAATCCTAATGGATTCCAATGATGAAGTTAAATGAGGCCCCACCTCAGTTTTTTGAATTAGAATCAGTGGGGCTGGATCTCAGCATCTGTATCTTAATGTTTCTCCCTGTGATCCTTATGCTGAAAGGCTGGTATTTGCAAATCCCTTTTTTCCGGGGGTGAAGGGTTTTTTTCAGAGACAGGCCTCACTCTGATGCCTCATCTGGAATGTGGTGGTGGGATCACAGCTCACTACAGCCTCCAACTTCTGACCTCAAGAAATCCTCCCACCTCGGCCAACCAAAGTGTTGAGATTACAGGCATGAGCCACTGTGTCCGGCCAGGAAAGCCCTTCTGTTTCACCTGAATGACATTTCTGCAGCACACCTATAGCCATGGTTGTATTAAACTGCATCATTGCGGGAAAAGAAAAAGCGAGAGGTGAGTGTTTTGCTTTTTTCTGAACATATCAGACCAAACCTGGGCTGTTTAGCATTTTTTTATTTTTTTATTTTTTGAGATGGAGTCTTGCTCTGTCGCCCAGGCTGTAGTGCAGTCACGTGATCTTGGCTCACCCAACCTCCACCTGCCAGGTTCAAGCAATTCTCCTGCCTCAGCCTCCCAAGTAGCTAGGATTACACATGTCAACCCCATAACCCCATGCCCAGCTAATTTTTTTGTTGTTGTTGTTTTTTTTTTTTTTCTTAGTAGAGATGGGTTTCAGCATGTTGGCCAGGCTGGTCTTGAACACCTGACCTCTGGTGATGCATCTGCCTCGGCTTCCCAAAGTGTTGGGATTACAGGCATGAGCCACTGTGCCCACCCTGTTGAACCCTTTTTTTGACAATGTGTCAACATCATTTAAGATAAGTATGGCCAGCTGGGTATGGTGGCTCACGCCTGTAATCCCAGCACTTTGGGAGGCTGAGGCAGGTGGATCACAAGACCAGGAGTTCAAGACCAGCCTGACCAACATAGTGAAATCCCATCTCTACTAAAAATATAAAACTTAGCCAGGTGTGGAGGCATGTGCCCGTAATCCCAGCCACTCAAGAGGCTGAGACAGGAGAATTACTTGAACCCAAGAGGCGGAGGTTGCGGTGAGCCAGGATCATGCCGCTGTGCTTCAGCCTGAGCAGCAGAGCAAGACTCTGTCTCAAAAAGAAAAGGGAAAAAAAGAAAAAAAAACGATGGGCACTGCCCAGTGTAGTGTGTCTAAACAAGGTGTCTAGAAGAGAGAGGAATATGCAAACCAGGCTTAAAGGCGGTTCAATCAGAGCTTTTCATTCCACCAAAGAGACATTTTAATGGGGTCGGAGCACTGATCTAATATTTGAAAGCCTGCTAACTAGGAGAGAGAGGAAACTGTTTTGTTGTCGAAGGATCCAACCAGCTCTGACGGTTGAAAGCAACATGAATGCAAATTTTAACTCCAGAAAAGCAGAGCTTCCTAAAACAGGCCTTCCACAGCAGTGGGGTCTGCTTCCTCATTCCGTTCCTGTAGTTCCCATGAGCGAGAGACTCTTTGAAGAGTCAGAGCCTGTTAGGAAGTTGTGTGGGAACTCAATCACAAGTTCTTTGTTTTTGTTTTTGTTTTTGTTTTTGTTTTTGTTTTTGTTTTTGTTTTTGTTTTGAGACACAGTTTCGCTCTTGTTGCCCAGGCTGGAGTGCAATGGTGTGACCTTGGCTCACTGCAACCTTCGTCTCCCAGGTTCAAGTGATTCTCCTGCCTCAGCCTCCTGAGTAGCTGGGGTTACAGGCACCCAGCACCATGCCTGGCTAAGTTTTTATATTTTTAGTAAAGATGGGGTTTCACCATGTTGACCAGGCTGGTCTCAAACTCCCGACCTCAGGTGATCCACCTGCTTTGACCTCCCAAAGTGCTGGGATTACAGGCATGAGCCACTGTGCCCAGCTAGAACTCACAGGCTCTTTGGATGGCCTCTGAATGTCATGCAACTGTTTTATTTTTCATTAAAAAAAATTTTTTGACACAAAGTCTCACCGTGTTACACAAGCTGGAGTGTGGTGGCACAATCATAGCTCACTGCAGCCTCTAACTCCTAGGCTCAAGCGATCCTCCTGCCTCAGTCTCCCAAGCAGTTGGAATACAGGTGCCAGCCACCACACCTGGCTAATTTGGATTTGTTTGGTTTTGGTTAGAGATGGGATCTTGCTATGTTGCCCACACTGGTCTTGAACTCCTGGCCTCAAGCAATCTTCCTCCCTTGGCCACCCAAAGTGCTGGGATTACAAGCATGAGCCACTGTGCACAGCTGAGATTTTTTTAACTTAGTGTTTTTGTACATGTGATGTTTTATTCAAAGAATACATAAATGGTAGGGAAATTTCTGAGTTAAGAGCAATATATATGATACGAAACTTGTTTTGTAGACTAGAGTTTCTTAGCTGAACTGGAGGGGCTGGCTTTAGGTGATTCATGAACTCCCTGAAACTGGGGACACCACTGGAAATACGTGTGAGCTCATGGACAGTTTCCTATGATTTTCAGTCCTCAGAATGTCTCTTGGACTCAAAGATGCCTTAGGGCAGAGGACGCGTGTACCCCAGTATAGAATCTCGGACAGTGTATGTCGGTAAACATTCAGCAAAAAAATTTTGCCAAATTGAGTGCTTTGAGGTAACTTTTTCATCAAGTCAATGTACCTGGGATCTCTTGTACATCCTAATCTCACTCTTGGAAGGTTTCATCATTTCTGCTTCCCCTACTTTTCTTTGCCACCCTGCTCCCTCTCCCACCAGACCGGACTCTGAAATGGCCATGTACGGAGGAGACCCCAACACACTTTAAGCTTTGAGTGGAGAGGACACAGTCTCTGCTGCGACAGGGAACAGAGGGATGCAGAGACGCTGAAGATGCTTTTGGACAATGGTCTGAGGTTGGGACAGTGGCAGGAGACACCGTTCACCCGGATCTCCAGGACAGGAGACCAGCCTGGCAGTTACACGTGTTTTTCTTCAAACTAGTTGCCAGGTTGGACCGACCAATGACATTGGAGATTCCAACCTCCCTGACTGGAAGGACAGGATTCTGTGGGTACTCAGGAGCTCAGGTGGATAAGAGCAACTTCTCAGAGCTGTTCTCCACTCCTGACTTCTCCCCAGACTTGAGAATAGAGAACACACCCGTCTGGGTCCTTTAGAGTCTGGAAGAAGGCTTTGGACAGAACAGGGACTAGGTTCTGTGGGAGGGAACAGAGTTTGGGAGAGATCATGGCCAGCTGTCAACCACATCCCCAGGTTGAGTACTAGAGCCCCCAGCCTAGCACCTCGGGGTACTCCCTCCCGGAGATGGTGGATGTTGAAGTGCCAGGACCATCAGGTGAGGGCACTGGAGGAAGAAGAGATGGGAGGGGGTTGACTAAGAAGAAGGAAGGGGGCCGGGCACAGTGGCTCACGCCTCTAATCCCAGAACTTTGGGAGGCCGAGGCTGGCAAATCACCCAAGGTCAGGAGTTTGAGTTCAGCCTGCCCAACATAATGAAACCCTATCTCTACTAAAAATACAAAATTAGCTGGGCAGTAGTGGTGCATGCCTGTAATGTCAACTACTTGGGAGGCTGAGGCAGGAGCATCACTTGAGCCTGGGAGGTGAAGGTTGCAGTAAGCCAAGATGGTGCCACTGCACTCCAGTCTGGGTGAGAGAGAGTAAGACCCTGTCTCAAAAAAAAAAGCTGGGGGGGGGGGGGGCGCTTGAGGAGGGTGTGTGGAAAGAAAGGAGGGACTCAGGCCAGGTGCAATGGCTCACACCTGTAATCTCAGCACTTTGGGAGGCCGAAGCAGGCAGATCACTTGAGACCAGGAGTTTGAGACCAGCCTGGCCAACATGGTGAAATCCCCATCGCTACCAAAAATACAAAAATTAGCTGGGCATTATGGCAGGCACCTATAATCCCAGCTACTTAGGAGGCTGAGGCAGGAGAATCACTGGAACCCAGGAGACGGAGGTTGCAGTGAGCAAGATCGTACCACTGCACACTCCAGCCTGGGCAACAAAGCAAGATTCTGTTTAAAAAAAAAAAAAAAAAAGGCCGGGCGTGGTGGCTCAAGCCTGTAATCCCAGCACTTTGGGAGGCCGAGGTGGGTGGATCATGAGGTCGAGAGATCAAGCCCATCCTGGTCAACATGGTGAAACCCCGTCTCTACTAAAAATAAAAATTAGCTGGGCATGGTGGCGCGTGCCTGTAATCCCAGCTACTCAGGAGGCTGAGGCAGGAGAATTGCCTGAACCCAGGAGGCGGAGGTTGCGGTGAGCCGAGATCGAGTCATTGCACTCCAGCCTGGGTAACAAGAGCGAAACTCCGTCTCAAAAAAAAAAAAAAAAAAAAAAAAAAAATTCTGGGGGAAGTAGGGGACACACGAGCCAGAAACCAGGGAAGGAAATGAAGAAATGAGGACACGTTCTGAGGACAGAGAGATGGAAGAGTGGGGAGGAGAAAGAGAGGCACATGGGGTTCAGCAAAGGCGAAAGAAAAATCACTTGCAGAAGCCCGCAGTCTGCGAGGCTGGGGAGGGTGGAGAGCGGTTTGGGGTTTTGAGTTGGAGACGCGTTACACGATGGCCTGCTTTCTTTACTCAGCCCCTTGGGTAGATCTCAGCCCCCCACATAGGTCCTTTTGTTGGAAAGGGACGACGGAGTGGTCAGAGGAATCTGAGGAGGAGCCGGGGGAGGAGCCAGAGAAGTCACACGCCCCTGAGCATCCGGAGACCTGGGTGGTGGAGACGCTCCACGGGCTCAAGATGAGGCTGAAGCGGCGGCGAGTGTCGCCCGTGCTCCCTGAACACCACGAGGCCTTCAACAGGCTGCTCAGGTAGGACACCCCAGAGAGCAGCTCCAATCCCGCTCTTTTAAATAGGAGGACACCTCCCATAACCATACTTTTCCCATGGGAGAAATATGTCCCCCCACACCCAACCCCAGTGGGTGAGCTCTCCATTCGGGAGGACTCAGAAGAGATCACTCATGAGGGACGTTTAGGAGGCAATCGAGGATTTGGCTGGACTTGATAAAGGTCTGTGGTTGGGATAAGAAAGCTGGGTTTCAGGCCAGCTGCAGGCTCATGCCTGAGATCCCAGCACATTAGGACGCTGAGGCAAGAGGCTCGTTTGAACTCAGGATTTTGTGGCTGTAGTGAGTTATGACCACTGCACTCCAGCTCGGGTGACAGAGCAAAACCCTGTCTCAGAAGAAAAACAAAGGCCGGGCACAGTGGCTCATGCCTGTAATCCCAGCACTTTGGGAGGCTGAGGCAGGTGGATCACCTGAAGTCAGGAGTTTGAGACCGGCCTGACCAATTATAGATGTGGTGACACACGTCTATAATCCCAGCTACTCTGGAGGCTGAGACAGGTGAATCGCTTGAACCTGGGAGGCGGAGGTTGCAAGTGAGCTGAGATTGTGCCACTGCTTTTCAGCCTCGGTGACAGAACAAGACTCTGTCTCCAATAAATAAATAAATAAATAGAAATAAAATAAAAACAAAATCAGAAAACAAAGAAAGCAGTTTCAGCTGTGCCTTCCGAAACTTAATGTCTCTCCCTGACTTTTTTTTTCTTACGAGAAAGAGTCTTGCTCTGTCACCCAGGCTGGAGTGCCTGGCACAATCTCAACTCACTGCAACCTCTGCCTCCCGGGTTTAATAATTCTCCTGCCTCAGCCTCCTGAGTAGCTGGGATTACAGGCACATGACACCACACTTGGCTAATTTTTTGTATCCTTAGTAGAGAAGGGGTTTCACCACGTTGGCCAGGCTGGTCTCGAACTCCTGACCTTGTGATCCTCCCGCTTTGGCCTCCCGAAGTGCTGGGATTATAGATGTGAGTCACCACGCCCGGCCTTGTGCTGACTTTTCTAACCGTAACTGTCTCCATCTGTAGAGGGGGTTACCAAGGCCATGGTCACACCCTGATGTGACTGTCTCATGAGGAAACGATGGGCATCACTTTATGACGCTGCAGTGGTCCCTGCGTGTCTGTGGGGAGGGCATCCTGCTTCTTCCCAGCTCCCCAGCCGCTAGATTCTCACACCCAGGGCCTCCTTCAGCCTCTTCTCAGGGCAGTCTCAGAGCGGGAGCCTCCCTCCCTTGCCCAGTCAAAGTCATTCTCTCCTCTCCCATCCACCTCACCCGCGGCCACCATCCTGAGACTTTCCCCAGGGAGGCACAGTTCTCCTGGCTGCCCCGTTTCTCCCAAGGAAACTCTGTTCCGCTTCTCACACTAACATCTGCCCTCTAATCACAGAGGATCCTGTCGTGAAAAGATTCCTGGCCTGGGACAAAGATCTGAGGGTATCCGACAAGGTAAGGTCGTTCTCCAGGGAACTGTGTTCCTGCTCCAACACACAGCCTGGGGGGGGCACAGCTTCCCCACCCGCAGTTCCCGTCCCCGCTCCCTCCACCAGCTCCCACCTGACGCTCCACAGTCTTTAGGGTTTTTGTTCTTTGTTTTTTGTTTGTTTGTTTGTTTTCTGAGACAGGGACTCACTCTGTTGCCCAGGCTGAGGGCAGTATCATGATCTTGGCTCACTGCAGCCTCAACCTCCCAGGTTCAAGCAATTCTCCTGCCTCAGCCTCCCAAGTAGCTGGAATTACAGGTGTGCACCACCACGCCTGGCTAATTTTTGTGTTTTTAATAGAGACAGAGTTTTGCCATGTTGGCCAGGCTGGTCTTGAACCCTTGACCTCAAGTGATCCACCATCCTTGGCCTCCCAAAGTGCTGGGATTATAGACGTGAGCCACTGTGCCAGGCCAGCTCCCATGGTCTTGAGTCTTGGTGCCCACCTTTTTTTTTTTTTTTTGAGACACAGTCTAGCTCTGCTCCCCAGGATAAAGTGCAATGGCATGATCATAGCTCACTGCAGCCTCTAATTCCTGAGCTCAAGCAATCCTCCTGCCAAAGCCTCCTGAGTAGCTAGGACTACAGGCACATGCCGCCATGCTCAACTAATTTTTGTAGAAACAGGATCTCACTATGTTGCCCAGCTTGTTCCTGAACTGTTGGGCTCACATAATCCTCCTGTCTCGGCCTCTCAAAGTACTGGGGTCACAGGCTTAAGCCATTACTCCTGGCTATTCTCGGTCTTTTATGATTTGTCAGCATCTCCCTGGGGACTCTGCTGGTCTCTTGCAGAGTGAATGAGTGGCCCTTGCCTCTCCTATGGGTCCTTTGGGATCTGAGCCTTGGGCCACACACAGTCCAGCTGCAGCCCTGAAGCTCCTGGCCCCTCTACTCTCAGCTGTTTGGGACAGTTCTCTGCCTGGCACACAAAGACCCTCCTGACACCAGGTGACCTGGACATATTCCTTCAAAGATCCCGTTGGAGCACACCATCCTGAGAATACCACCAATATCCCTTCCTCTAGCTTCTTGGATTTGCGATACCTCTCAACCCCGCAATTTCCAAATAAGCACAGTCACCCCAACACTGAGGTCCCTTTTCTGATGGGCAACCCCTCCCCAGTCCCCCATTCCCTCATCTCCACGATCTTCCTCTTCCAAGATGTGACCTCTCCCTCTCCGTGTTCCTTTCTCTCCATCAGTACCTGCTGGCCATGGTCATAGCGTATTTTAGCCGCGCCGGCCTCTTCTCCTGGCAGTACCAACGCATTCATTTCTTCCTGGCTCTGTGAGTGCTTTGCTCCCTCCTGTCCGTCAATATCCAACACCCTGGGACAGCAGGGGAAGTGAGATTTGAAACTCTCATTTATTCTTTCACCTGTTTGTCCTCTTTACTCTGTGTATAAAAAAGACAGGATTATACTATGTGTTATAGTTATTATACTATTATGCTAAAGGTGTTCTTAGACTGTGCCATCCAAAAGCAAACTCAGGCTGAGTGAGGTGGCTCACTGTAATCCCAGCACTTTGGGAGGCCAAGGTGGAAAGATCACCTGAGGTCAGGAGTTCGAGACCAGCTGGCCAACCTGGCGAAACTCTGTCTCTACTTAAAAAATACAAACAGTAGCCAGGCACAGTGGTGTGCACCTGTAATCCCAGCTACTTGGGAGGCTGAAGCAAGAGAATGGCTTGAACCCGGGAGGCAGAGGTTTCAGTAAGCTAAGATTGAGGCACTGCATTACAGCCTAGGTGACAGACTGAGACTTTTTCTCAAAAACAAACAAACAAACAAACAAACTCAAAAGCCAGTTTACAAATAAAAGAATAAAACTAAAGGAAGCATAATCCCCTCCTAAGGGAAGAGGAAAAGGAGCAGACACGACACTCCCCCCAGCAACAGCCACTTCTGGTTCTTCTGTCTCTCTCCTTCCCACATCAACCCCAAATGCAATGGTCATCGTCCTCCTCCGGGTTCCCATGACAGAGGCGACAGTTCAGGCCCCCTCACGTCACTTGAATCCACTGCCAAATGCTCCCTGCTGGGGCCTCCTGGAGCCTCTCCCCAAGCCAGGGGGCTTCCTAGTGCAGACTGAACATCTCTCCAAAGCACAGGTCTGAACCCCCACTGCCCACCTGAACAGCTTCCTTAGCTGATGCCTTTGGAAATCGAGGCCAGGTTCACAGTGCCAATTCCACCCTCTCTACAATCTCTCTGCAGCCAAACCGGCTCACCATCCTGGTGTTTCCTGGCTCAGTTTCACCGCTCCTTCCAAACGCCCGCCACTCAACTTTGCATCTGTGTTTTCCGTCCGGGGTCCTGCACGCCTGTGGTTTTGAAGAGAATGACCCATTCCTTGCCGTCAGTTCACCCCACGGTCTCTGTGGTGCCTGCCCTCATCTTCCCGCCTCTGCACGCCAACAGCTGGCCAGTGACATCCTATTATAATGTGACATTGGGATGAGGGGATCTGCCCTGATTTCTCCCAGTCCCATTAGACTAGATGCTTGTAGAAGGCAGGGTTTGGCAAAATGTCAATGTATCCTATTTTTTTATTATTATTATTATTATTTTGAGACAGAGACTCACTCTGTCCCCCAAGCTGGAGTGCAGTGGTGAGATCATAGCTCACTGCAGCCTCCATGTCCTGGGCTCAAGCCATCCTCCCACCTCAGCCTCCTGATTAGCTCAGACTACAGGGCTGTGCCACCACGCCTGGACAGTTATTTATTTATTCATTTATTTAATTTATTTTTTTAAAAATGTTTGTTTTTGAGATAAAGCCTCACTCTGTTACCCAGGCTGGAGGGCAATGGCATGATCTCGGTTCATTGCAACCTCTGTCTCCTCGGTTCAAGCAATTCTCCTGCCCAGCCTCCAGAGTAGCTGGGACTACAGGCACATGCCACCATGCCCGGCTAATGTTTTGTATTTTTAGTAGAGATGGAGTTTCACCATGTTAAACAGAATGGTCTCAATCGCCTCACCTTGTGATCCGCCTGCCTTGGCTTTCCAAAGTGCAGGGATTACAGGTGTGAGCCCACTGCACCTGGCCTATTTATTTATTCATTGAGACAGAGTCTTGCTCTGTCTCCCAGGCTGGAATGCAGTGGCCGGATCTTGGCTCACTGCAATCTCCGCCTCCTGGGTTCAGGCAATTCTCCTGCCTCAGCGTCTTGAGTAGCTGGGACTAAGGCTTGTGCCACTGCACCAGGCTGATTTTGTATTGTTAGTAGAGATGGGGGTTCACCATATTAACCAGGCTGGTCTCAAACTCCTGGCCTCAAGCGATCCAACCGCTTCAGCCTCCCAAAGTGCTGGGATTCCAGGCATAAGCCACTGTCCCCTGCCAGTTTTTTTTATATTTTCAATAGAGACAAGGGTCTTGCTATGTTGTCCAGGCTTGTCTCAAACTCCCGGCCTCAAGCAATGCTCCTGTCTCGGCCTCCCAAAGTGCTGGGATTCCAGGCTTGAGCCACCACTCTCAGCCACCAGTTGGGTTTTTGTCTCCACCCTGAAGGTGATCTCTGTCTAGAAAGGCCCTCCTGAGGAAGGCATGGCTCTCTGCAGGGTGAATGCCAGTCCTGAGCTAAGGACGGTCCCCTGCCCTCCTCTCTGGGAAGCTGACCTCAGCTGGAGGTCACACTTCTGGTGGTGCCCCTGAGCAGCAACCCGATTTCTGCCCTCAGCTACCTGGCCAATGACATGGAGGAGGATAACCAGGCCCCCAAACAAGACATCTTCTACTTCCTGTATGGGAAGAACCACTCCCAGCGACCCTTGTTCCACAAGCTTCGACTCCAGCTCGTTTGTTCCATGAGCTGGAGGACTCGGGTTTCCCCGGAGGAGCTGGAGGAGGTGCGTAGAGCGTGGGGAGGTGGAGGAGGTGGGAAGGAATCAGGTGGTTGGAGGCTGGATGAGGGGAGGGAGGGGTATCCTGGGGAGTCCCCATCTTCTCAAGGGGCATTTGTTTTTCCAGATCCAGGCTTATGACCCAGAGCACTGGGTGTGGGCTCGAGATCGCACCCTCCTTTCCTAGAGCTCCAGGGACCGTGGAGGCCTGAGGTCATTGGCCTGAGGGAAGGTATGTCTGCGTCCCCCGGGGTCAAGGCAGAATATTGTGGTCTATTTAGGAAATCTGAGGAACCCAATCGCTTGATCTGGCTTCAAGCCTGGACAACATGGCAAGAATCCCTCTCCACAAAAATACAGAAATTACAGGCAGTGGCTCATGCCTGTAATCCCAGCACTTTGGGAGGCCGAGGTGGGTGGATCACGAGGTCAAGAGATCAAGACCATCCTGGCCAACAGTAGAGAGAAACCCCGTGTCTACTAAAAGTACAAAAAATTAGCCAGGCATGGTGGTGCTTGCCTGTTGTCCCAACTACTCGGGAGGCTGAGGCAGGAGAATTGCTTGAAACCAGAAAACAGAAGTCGCAGTGAGCCGGGATTGTGCCACTGCACTCCAGCCTGGGGATAGAGTGAGACTCTGTCTCAAAAAAAAAAAATTATCTGGGCAATGTGGGAGTCATCTCTATTTACTCAGGAGGCTGAGGAGGGAGGATCTCTGGAGCCTGGGAGTTTGGGGCTTCAGGGAGCCCTGATTCTGCCACTGCACTCTAGCCTGGTCAACAGTGTGAAACTATGTCTCAAAAATCATCATAAATACTAAGTTCTGGAGGTTCATTATGATTGAAGCACTTGAGTTACTGATGCAGGTAGAGGATTCAGTGAAGGTGTGATTTACATCTTGTGCAGCTAATCACGCTGAGGACTCTGCATGAGCCTTAACCATTAGGAAGCGAGATTATGGATTAGGCTTCTGGACTGGTGGTCCGTGATGTTGCCACATTAGAAGCATAGCTTCTATGGTTACAGTCATCTTAAGGGACACAAAAGGCCCCAGGTGTGATGAAGTCCAAAGCCACATTCTCTGAGGGTGCTCTACCCCCCGGGCAGACCCACCCAAAGGCCTTGCTCTGAAGCAGATCACTGGGGCTGACCGTGGGTGTATTAAGTGAGTTTTGGAGTCAGAGTCACTGAAGTGTCAGTATCACAATTGAACATGATGGTTCAGAAGCAGGGTAGAGAATGCAAGGCAGGAGATAAAATTGGATTGATCAATTGCTCTGAACTCTAGTTAGAACTGACGTGGGATGTGAATAACCTTCCTGTGTAGAGAACTGCCTCCTTGAAGTGTGACATCCTCTCTCTCTCACTTCCAGAACACCAGGCCCAGCCAGGGGAGCTGTGGATTTTCAGCAGCAGGTTTACTCCAATGCTGATGGCAGACAGACACCATTAAGGACGAGAGCAGCCATTTCTGCAGATCATCTAGAAGAACCTGGACTGTTCTAGAAGGAGCTGAATAGAGTGATCACGCTGTCCTCCTAGGAATGGGGGGATGGGGAGACGGTACTTCTAGGAGTCCACGGAGGACAGTGAGAAACCAGGGGTGTTTCTGGTTCCACCCCTTCCTGCGGCGCCACCTCCCTTTTTATGTTGCTGAATTCCAGCCTCTCTGGGGAGGAAGCTGGAGGTCTTGTTTCCTACGGACTTGGACGCCACAGTCCAGGAGCATTTGAAGGCACAGTGCAGGTGCTCAGATTGGCACGGAATTATTTGTAAAATATGACTGCCATAGGATTGTAACAGATAGCTTCATGCATACTACACATTTTATTGGTTGGTTTGGAAAATGTTGGCCATCGAATTATTAGTATGCTTCTTTCAAATAGTTTGGAAATTGTTGTACTTTTGAAAACATGCCGTTCCTGTAGAGTTTTTTGATGAGAGTTATAGCTGTTATGTATACATAAATATAATATTCATTTTTAAGAAAGAATTTTTATCCTAAATCTATTATCTTTACATTGTTTTATCTATTATTACATGTGCTTCTGAAGCCAGCACTCTTTTTATCCATGATACTTACATCATAATCTGTTATATTTATAGGTGTGTTCCCCTAAATCTTGTAATAGAGATTTTTATTTGCTACTTAGTGTTTGTTACTGAATTGTGAGAATTCCGTTGTAATTTTTAACATGTCTTAGATATATACTAATTTGTCTAATATATACTATACATTTTATTGGTTTATTTGAAAAAGATGAGCATAGAATTATTACTACATTTATTTTAAATAGTTTAGAAATCCCGGTATTTTGAATAGATGTTGTCCCTATAAAGTTTTATGATGGGTGCTATAGTTGTTATATACACAAAAATATCATTTTGTTTTCCTTTTTAAGAAAGGATTTTTTTAATCCTAAATCTTTTATCTTTAAATCTTTGTATCCGTTGTTACCTGCGGTGCTGAAGGAAGCACTCTTTTTATCTATGATACTTACTTATTACCTTTATAGCTATGTGGCAGTTCCCCTAAATTCTTGAAAAATAAATTTTTATTTGATGTTAAGTGTATGTTTTTGAAATGTGAGAATTCAAATGTGATTTTTTGCCTTGTATTGACATGTTTGTATGTCACTTTAAAGAGGATGCGTGTTTTAAAGGAGGACATGAGCTGTGTGTTCTCAAGAGAACAGTGCAGCACATGTCTTAGGGAAATGTAATACAGACAAAGTTTTCTCACCTTCACAGAGAGTGTGATCATGTTGGTCTTAGATTGCTTATTTGCTGTGAAGTAACATTTTTCCTTAATGGGGTTGTGGTTATTTGAACATATTTATTAGCTCTGGAAGACAATCCTGTATTATTTTTTATGTAAAAAAAAAAAAAAAAAAAAAAAGTAAGGCTAGGTGCCATGCTCATACGTATAATCCCAGCCCTTTTGGAGGTCATGGCGGGAGGATCACTGGAGCCCAGAGTTTGAGACCAGCCTGGGCAACATAGCATCTGCATCTATTTAAAAAAAAAAAAAAAAAAAAAAAAAAGACGAAGAAGAGAAGGCTGATCCCAAGCTAAAGTTTTTTTGTTTGTTTGTTTTGTTTTGTTTTGTTTTTTTGAGACGCAATCTCACTCTGTCGCCCATGCTGGAGTGCAGTGGCATGATCTCAGTTCACTGCAACCTCAGTCTCCTGTGTTCTAGCTCTTCTTCTGCCTCAGCCTCCTGAGTAGCTGGGACTACGGGTGCATGCCGCCATGCTGGGGTAATGTTTGTATTTTTAGTGGAGACAGGGTTGCACCATATTGGCCAGGCTGGTCTCAAACTCCTGATCTCAAGTGATCCACCCACCTCAGATTCCCAAAATGCTGGGATTATAACATGAGCTACAACACCCAGCCCCCAAGCTAAAGTTTTAAAGCAGGAAATGAGGGAAAGATATTGAGAGGAAAACCAGGTGGTAAGAAAACTCTAAAGGTGGCTGAGCATGGTGGCTCATGCCTGTGATCCCAACATGAGTTCGAGACCAGCCTGGCCAACATGGTGAAACCCTGTCTCTACTAAAAATATAAAAATTAGCTTGGGATGGTAGTGCATGCCTGTAATTCCAGCTATTTGGGAGGCTGAGGCAGAAGCATCACTTGAACCCAGGAGGTGGAGGTTGCAGTTAACAGAGATGGCACCACTACACTCCAGCCTGGGTGACAGAGCAAGACTCTGTCTCCCCCATCCCCCCAAAAAAGAAAGTTCTTGCAACATTTGAAGCCATTATATACAGACAACCTGCCATGCAATTCTTCTTGATCTTCGTTTTTTTTTTATTTTTGGAGTTGGGGCCTTGCTTTGTCACCCAGACTGGGGTGCAGTGGTGCAGCTGTAACTCACGGTAGCCTCAGAGGCAAGCTGAAACGATCCTCTTACGTGCCTCCCAAAGTGCTGGCATTACAAGCAGGCGCTACCACACCGGGCCTGTGACACACTTCTGATGTCAACTCCTTGATGTTACATCAAACGCCACCGGTTAAGGCCACAAGCCCTCACTAGGCTGCCCTCACTTTAAACACAAGCTGCAAGTTTGGTTCCTCTCAGACCACATGTACTTCTCACAACTGGCCACAAATTTGGAGGTTTCCACAGTGTTCTCAAGTTTTATAATTCTCTGTAACAACTTGAAGCACTCAGAAAAGCATGATACTTCCTTTTCTTTCTTTTTTTTCTTTTTTCTTTTTTCTTTTTTTTTTTTCTGAGATGAAATCTCACTCTGTCACAGACAGAAGTGCGGTGGCATGATCTCAGGTCACTACAAGCTCTGCCTCCCAAGTAGCTGGGATAACAGGCGTGTGCCATCATAACCCAGCTAATTTTTGTATTTTTAGTAGAGTCAGGGTTTCACCATGTTGGCCAGGTTGGTCTCAAACTCCTGACTTTGGATGATCTGCCTGCCTTGACCTCCCAAAGTGCTGAGATTACAGGCAATGATTCACTGTTCCCAGCCGAGCATGATACTTTCATTATTGTTTTATATCAGAAAAACACTGACAAAACTTAACACCAGCCAAAAGCAGAGACACACAGTGTCAACTCCGAGGGGGTCCCAAAGATGACGTTTCTGTGTCCTCTGGATGCATCATCCTCTCAGCACCCTGATGTGTATCACCAACCAGGGAAGTTCACCTGGGCTTCCATGTCCAGGGGTTTTATTACATTGGCCTGGTTGATGCCACCATGGACCAGGCAGTTGAGTCAATCTCTAGCCCCCCAGCTCTGTTCTGGAGGTCAGATTGACACCAGGTGGCTCAAAGTTGCAACCTTCAAATCACATGGTTGGTCTTTCTGGTGTGGTTGGTCCCCTGGCCAAGTCATTTGGTTGGCATGAACTCAGATGTGACCCTGGGGGGGCCACCGCGCGTAACAGACAGGTCTCTCACCCAAGAATTTCTGAGGATTTAGAGGCTGTCTCCAGGAATCGAGACAAAGGCCAGAAACATCAAGGAAAAGAAGAGCGGGGAAGTGTCAGGACAGCAAAGAAATTCCTTTTTATATGTGTGTGTGTATACATATATATATAATGTATATGAAATCTATATTTAATGTATTATATATTAAATACAGATTGCTTTATGAATATAAACATGTCATATTTTTATATAACATATATATAAATACTATAAATATAGGAGGAAATATGTCTCCCTTTATTTATTTATGAGTTGAGTTGGAGTCTTGCTCTGTTGCTCAGGCTAGAGTTCAGTGGCGTGATCTTGGCTCACTGCAATCTCCGCCTCCCGAATTCAAGCAATTCTCCTGCCTCAGCCTCCCGAGTAGCTGGGATTACAGGCACGTGCCACGACACATGGCTAATTTTTGTATTTTTAGTAGAGATGTGGTTTTATATGTTGGCCAGGCTGGTCTTGAACTCCTGACCTCATGTGATCCACATGCCTTGGCCTCCCAAAGTGCTGGGATTATAAGAGTGAGCCACCGCGCCTGACCAAATTTCTCTCTATATTTATATACACACGGAAGGAAACATGTGTAATGGGAGAGGAGGGGGCTTGGGCTATTAAAACAAAATGCCATAACCGGGTGGCTTAAATAGCAGAAATTCAGTCAGCGCCTTGGAGATTCCTTCACGCCTGCTCGCCCTGTCTCCCTCCTGGCACCCATGGGCTCTGGGTGGCGGCCCACTGGCTTCTCTAGAGGCTGCACTGCGGTCCACCCTCTTGGATGGGCCCAGGGCCCTGCTGCACTTTAGCCTGCAGTGCTAGGCCAGTGACGTCCTGGCTCCTGGCGCTACCTGGGAAGATGTCCTCTATTCTGGGTCCCTTGAGCCTTTCTGGATCCTGGTCCTGCCTCAGCCTCGGGGGGTGGGGGGAGTTGAAAGCAGGGTCCCTTCTCAGAGGCTCAGACAGGCTGGTCTCGGCTGTACTTGCCCCAGCCCTGGGAGGCCCCACACCCGCCCAGGGAGCCTGGCTGTCACAGCATCATCAACCTAGAGCTCACTCTCTGCTTTGGAATTCAACATCCCCATCTCTCGTAAAAGTTTTCCTCTAAGAGCGATGGATAATCTAAGCCATGGATCTCTAAAGCCTCCCAGCAAGCACCCAGCTCTGCCCCGTGCCCTCCTCCAGGAAGCACCTTCCTCCTGGTGTGCTCTTATTTTCTACAGTCCTGTTGGACTCTGCAGATGCTATCAGCAGTTGGATTTATTCATGACAGATATATTTCTCTTCAACTAGTGTAGATTATCTCCTGAGTATTAGTCTCTCAATGATTTATCACACCCAGCTAATTTTTGTATTTTTAGTAGAGCAGGGTTTCACCAAGTTAGCCAGGGTGGTCTTGATCTCTTGACCTCATGATCCACCCCTTTCAGCCTCCCAAAGTGTTGGGATTACAGGCATGAGCCACCATGCCTGGCCACTAATCTGTATTTTCCTAACTTGTGTGAGGGATCAGTACCACCTTATAGTGGTAGATCTTATTTCTGCTGCTGAATTTTTCCTCTGTTCTCTTTCTAGTAAGGGCTTTATCCTGAGTCATTTATTGACATGTGGCATATAGGGCCCTCCTTAAAGTGAGACTGCATTATTGTCCCATTGATTTAGGGCCTGGCCACATTTTAAGCTTTAGTTGATGGAAGGTGAGGGAGTAGAACATACGGAAACATCTGAGAAGAAAAGCACTTCAGAAGGCATCAAGTTTTTCTGACAGGTCTCTCTTGCTTGCTGACAGGTCTCTCTTGCTTGATGTCCCAAATAAAGCCCACTGAAGAGGCTGGAACCTGGTGTGAGAAGAAAAATGTAACAGAAGTTGACCCGTAGCCATGGATATCTATCCAGAACAATGAATCAGTGTCAATTGTAGCCACTGTCATTTGGGGGATTGCTTGTTATCAA